AAATTCTGCTGAAGACATCAGACCATTTGTTCATAAAATAAGCACACTTTAAGTTCAGCTCATTACCTACAGTACAAGTACACACTACTAGTATGTTTGTCATTTAAAATAATCAACACATTGTTGCAAATAGAAGCGTTAATGTGACTTCTTGCACAATTTCTCTCTGTCTCTGTGTCAGGAGGCTTTAATGTTCTCACTGACTGACAATCCGAGGTCTAAATGATCTTGCCTTAGAGAATGAGGGATCTTGTTCTCTGTAATTACTGTAAACAACCATCTCACTACTGGAAGAGAATGACTGTTGCAAAAGCCAAGAGACACCAAAAGATTAGTGGGGAGTTTTGTGGGGACATATCATTGAAAGAAATGTTTGTAATCTAGTGTTTTAGTTAAAACGCAAAGCTAACCACAAGGCTGGATTGGTTATCCAAACAACCGACTGTGCTTGCTGAGAGAAGTTTTGAATATGTATTCATTTTGGGTGTCATATATCAGGAAATTTGACTAATTTATCTTCTAATTAGAACAACAAACTGACTGAATCTATTAACGCATTTGTTATCTGTTTAAAAATGTAAACTGTCATACAGATGCCATACAGGTTAAAGTTATATTTCCAATAAAAATTCTGTAATTTACTCACTCTTATGTTCTACCATATGTTTGATTTTATTCATTCATTATTTCTTCTCTTTTCCTTATGATGAAGGCAAATGTTGACCATGGAAGTACCTGGTCCTCTAAGCACAAATATTAGTTATGCTATGTTATGACCTCAAAACACTTTTATATATAGTACACAATTTGTAAATAAATATAACCAGCTTGCATCACATTACCAGCTACATATGTGGCTTTTCTAGTAAACTTGCTCTGTAGCTCACCTGGTATACAGCATTGCACTTGTGATGCAGATTATGAGTTCGATGCAGATTATGTGATGCAGATTACTCTGTTATGAGTCCCCTTGAAACACGAGCCAGGATAAAAGAGCTCAAAGTTTTGTAGAAGCAAGCTAAAATGGCATGGTTGCATCAGCAAATGCAATTTTTTTTAACACGTTTGCTTTTTTTTTTAGGTTTAGGTTTAAGGTGCCAGATTCACATTCATCTGTTCAATTCAACATGCTTTTTAGTGACACTTTTTGTGACATTTCACTTTGAATGTCTTGGGACACGGGCAAGCAATAATTTTTCGGAAATGTTGGCACAGGCATGTTTTTCCAATGAGCCTTAGGTTGGTTAAATATCTCCTTTCGTGGTTCATGCAAGAAAATAATGCAGATTTTGGAAAAACATGACAGTAAGTACATGATGGCATTGAATTTCTTTTTGTTTGGGCGTGTGTATGTGATATATCTTCAAAAAGGGCCCAGTTTTCAGTTAAACCAAATGCAGCGGCTAGAGTCTATACCAGGTCAAGAAAATATGATCATATTACCCCAATTTTACAGTCTCGGCACTGGCTACCTATTAAGTTCCGTATCAGTTACAAAATATTATTACTTGCCTATAACGCCCTTAATAGGTTAGCTCCTGCGTACCTAACTAGTCTTCTACCACGCTACAATCCATCACGTTCCCTAAGGTCGCAAAACTCTGGACTTTTGGTAGTACCTAGGATAGCAAAGTCCACTAAAGGAGGTAGAGCTTTTTCGCATTTGGCTCCCAAACTCTGGAATAGCCTTCCTGATAACTTTCGGGGTTCAGACACACTCTCTCTGTTTAAATCTAGATTAAAGACACATCTCTTCAAGATATGCCAAGCATTCAAATAATGCATCTCATAATATTGTACTGCAGTTATATCTGATCAAATGCACATTATTATTCTTTAGTTTGGGTTAAACAAATCAATTTTGCTTTGTTGGAACAGCAGCTACGCTAATTATGTCTCTATTTGTTTCTCTGCTTTTGCCGTAACTAGGATTTACACAAGCTTCAGTCTGGATCCAGAACACCTGAGAAGAGATGATGCCAACCCCTCAGAGGACCTCAGATGATGCCAACCCTGAGACAACATACAGAACTACCACATTTTGCTATAAGTTTGATTGCATCATATAATAATTGCTGTTAATAGTGTTCATCGTCTGTTTGATTATGTATTTAATTGATTTTTATGTACATTTCTGCCATATGTACATTAACTGACAGTCACCACTGATAAGCTACCACTAAATATTGTAGAAACTTAATTTGCTGTAAAGTTACTTTGCAACGATTTGTATCGTGAAAAGCGCTATACAAATAAACTTGAATGACACTGAGACTCTTGAGTACACCTAATGAAGGGGATGCATTGGAAACCAATTTACTTCTTAATGAATATTTATACTAATATCACACTATATTATTAAGATATTATATCCATCTATTTCCAAACCACTTTATCCTCTGCAGTGTTGCCAGGTTCTTGAGCCTTTCCCAGCATCTCAGGCCATGGGCGGGGGACACCCTCAACGGATGGCCAGTAGGATATTATATATTTAATTTAATCATATTAAATTAAACATACTGCTTGGCATGTCCTAGGTGTTGCAATTTGATGAATAATTAAAGCCCTTATTATGTATTGTCACACCATGTTTAACTAGCTGAAATAATCATATTTAAAATTAATTGCTTCATTCAAAGTACATTAAAGTTAGAGTCTGATGTATATACCATCATTAAAAATAAAGACCCCTCTAAAGTGAAAATGCAAAACAAATCACAGATGAAAGGACTAAATGAAAAGTTCATTGCTGTGAAATAGGTGGCAATGATCAATAGACATATTTATAGGCGAAACGTGATGCACACTCAGTGTCAAGGTTTGACTGTGTATCATAATCCAGTTGCCAGCAGATGTTGTAACACAATTCTGTTCAAAAGTTGCCAAGTATTCTGACAAAATTATTTTCATAAGCAAAATACAAACTGCAAGTACTTACTGTCATTATATTTTTGTAAAGAGTTTAACAGTGACAGATTATTTTTTGAGAGCTCTTCAAAACGTGAAATGCACTCATGAATTCCACTTGCCTCTTGTCTTTCATATCACATCTCAGTATAGTTGCTGTAGTGAGGACTTTGAGACATGTTCTTATGGTGCCATCAGCTAATCGGTGTTTCTAATGATTTCCTTTTCTTGCAGCTTCAGTAAAGTCATTCGCAGTTTCTTTTATGTGTGTGTGTGTGTGTGTGTGGACTATTCGCAAAATCACGTCTAGCAGTTTATCTTTGAGATCAAGTATGGGGATAGCTGTTGTATTCAATTATTGTAGATTTGCCCGTTTGCACATACAGTGGTGAAGTCCACCTCTGAATGGCTGAAGAAAAACAAAATGAAGACTTTGGAGTGACCTAGTCAAAGTCCTGACCTGAATCCTATTGAGATGCTGTGGCATGACCTTAAAAAGGCGGTTCATGCTCGAAAACCCTCCAATGTGGCTGAATTACAACAATTCTGCATAGATGAGTGGGCCAAAATTCCTCCCCAGCGCTGTAACAGACTCATTGTAAGTTATCGCAAACGCTTGATTGCAGTTGTTGCTGCTAAGGGTGGCCCAACCAGTTATTAGGTTTAGGGGGCAAACACTTTTTCACACAGGGCCATGTAGTTTTGGATTTTGTTTTCCCTTAATAATAAAAACCTTCATTTAAAAACTGCATGTTGTGTTCACTTGAGTTATCTTTTACTCATATTTAAATTTGTTTGATGATCTGAAGTGTGACAAACATGCAAAAAAATAAGAAATCAGGAAGGGGGCCAACACTTTTTCACACCACTGTATATATTCTACTACAAATGAATTGCTGAACCTAACAGCTTTTTAAATATTTTAAATAGAATGATTTTAAATGGCTGTGCAGGCTGTGCAGGGAAACCTGCATGCACATCCAGGGACAGACGGCTAGTGCTACAGTCACTGTCTGATGAATTGTAGCTTATTTTTCTAGGTGTGAGATTGCAGTTGGCCGGCGTGAACATGAGCAGGTGTGACTGGATGCATTCGTGAAGTCTAGTCCTTCATACACTGCTTTTGTTTTCCTGCCTTCTCTAGAGCTGATACAATAGCTGGACAACCAAAACTGCAGTTGCTCCATGTAGACAAATGTATTGATTTAATTAGAAGAGCATCATCAGTGCTTAATATTACAATATTTGGGCATGCAGAAGGATTTTAGAAATTGGTCAACACAATCTCATGACAGTTAGGTTTTTGTGTATGGGTTAGTCGTGGACCAAGTTTTCATCTGTCTATCTATCTATGTATCTATCTATCACAAATTCATACAAAATGGCCACCTCACAAAATTCTTATCAGAAGAAATTGGCACACACAAAAACAATATTATGAATTACCTTAATATGTGACATGACATGTGACCAAGTATGGTTACCCATACTACAAATTAGTGCTCTGCATTTAACCCATCCTAAGTGTGACACACACACACACACACAAGTTGGGGTTCAGTGCCTTGCTCAAGGGCACCTCAGTTGTGGTATTGAGGGTGGAAGACAGCACTGTACATTCACTCCCCCCACCTACAATTCCTGCCGGACCTGAGACTTGAACTCACAACCTTTGGGTTACAAGTCCAACTCACTAACCATTAGGCCATGATTAGCTTTTCACAGCAAACAATGATTCATTAATTGCATTTTACATAATTATTATTTTGTTAGATTTTTTTTAATTGACAGTCCTACAGAAAATGTTAATAACAATAAAAACTATTATTAATAAAAATGTTTTGTTTAAAATATTAATAAACAGAATTAGCTATTTCACAACTGCATATTTCACAATTGCACCATTTCCCTTGCATAACTATTGCTGTGTGCGTCTGTCTTTAGCCAAGCTGTCTTCCCCCTTTCCTGAGCTCAGTCTGACAACAGCTGTGTGTTATTCCAGAGGAGTCTGTGTAGTTGTGCTTTACTTAGGAGGAGTCTGCCCAGCCATTGGTCGAACGCAACAAACTATTAGTAAAGCAGAATGTTAAGGGTGGAGTGGGCTGAAAGGGGAAGTTCACGTGCTATACATTTAAACTTAACGGATCTAAAAACAGGCCTCTGATATGATTCATGATAATATTTCCATCCTGTTAGAAAGTGAAAGAACAACTCAGCCTGAGCAGAGGAAGTATTTCTGTTCCTAGAAAAAGGACAGCAGAACAGCTTGCAGGCTGTGGGAGAACTTGTTGCAGAACTTTTGAAGAAAAGTTGGTGAGTTAGATTTGACTTCTGTATTTAAAATAAAGCTTGCTGTCATAAATCGCGCTGATTTGTAGATTTAAATGTAAGTTATAAAGCATGGTATGTTATTGTTAAAAGATTTTTTTTAGATGGTGACAAGTACTATTCTTTAACTGTCCAAGAGGTTGTCCACTATTTACATCTGCCCAACTTTTCTCCCATCAGAATACATTTTAAATTTATATCTACAACTGTGGCTTTCGTTTGTATCTAAAAGAGAGTGTGGTCCTCCAGAGGGTTGTGTGTAGTTTAAAGGAGTTGAGTGACAGAAATGAAACATGCCAGGTCAGCAAATAACCCCAAAGAGTTGTAAGTGACATCTGCCCTGCTAATTTAAGATGCACACGTACTCCATTAAACTCAAAACACACTGAGAAGTATATTTCACAATATTGAAGTTTTTTCCCCTAATTCATTAATAGTAGACTCCTTGACAACTCTTTGAATTATATATATCTTATAGGGTAGTTCACACAAAAATTAAGATTATGTCATCATTTACTAAGCCTCCTGTCATTCCAAACCTGTATAACGTTCTTTTATAAAAAAAACACTAGAATATATTTTGGAAAACACCATTGGCTTTGGTTGTATGGACGGAAAAAAAATTCATCAGAATTTTTTCTTTTATGTTGCTCAGAAGAAAGAAAGTCCTTGGAATGACATAAAAGATGATATAATCATTATCGTTTTAACCCTTTTATTTTTGTACAAATCATTCTGTATTACTACCCGAAACTTTCTTATATGTTAGCTTCTTCAAAGTTGCCACCTTTTGCCTTGATTCTGCACACTCTGGTCATTCTGTTAACCAATTTCATGAGGTGCCAACTGGGATGCTTTTAAATGGTCTTGGCTCCTTCACATGTACGTTGGGCACATGTTGGCTGCTTTTTCCTCACTACACAGTCCAGTATCTTAGTTTTGTAAAGGCATTCATATGTAGACACTATTGATAGTTATCACTAATCTGCAGATCATAAGAAACTATTTTCTTTTGAATTTGTGTTTGAATCTGTCAATACATATTTTAGTATAGAGACTGAGACGTGATACTGAAAAATGAGTAAATTACCTTTAAACAGTTAGATTGAAATTGCTTTGCTACTCATGCAGGGACTAGCATGTCCTGTTGCCTGAGGCTTGTATAAAAGCTTCAAGTGTAAATATTAGAGTAAAAGCCAGTCATGCTGGTACACAAAGCTTATATTTGAGCATAGCTGACATTAACAGTGCTGTTTTTAGCTTTAAAGAGCTAAAATGAAATTCTAGCACTGAGTCGTGATGAGGGAAGTAAATAAAAGTGATCTTAAATTAGAGAGTGAGAGTGAGAACTTGTTTTCCATCATCACATATAACATTTATGAGAGCTCCTCCTTCAGCTGCAGGCATAAACATTGACACAATTTCATAGTCAAACAAGTTTATAAATTAGTGGCCTTGTCAAACCCATCTTTTAAAAATGACAGCATCCAAACTGCAAAAAGTTTCTAGCCCTCTTGTCCTGCAAATATTACAAACTAAAAAGATGGGAATGTCAGTGTATGATACTTTAGATTTATATAAATAAAATAAATCCATCGCTGGATTTCAGGAAGGAAGTACAGGGTGTGGACACTGTGCTGATGAGAGAAGGAAATAGTGTGAGTGTTTCCTTTGTTTCACAGCGAGTGATAAGGCCCAGGGTCTTAAAAGGCCTCTTCCTTTGTTTAGTAACTGCCAGAAAAGTCAACAAAGGCTAAAATAAGGCCAATGGAGTTTAATTGAATGTGTCACACAGCACTATATTGTGTACACATCAACATCTACAGCAGATCTACAGCTGAGTAGAGCACCTAAACATATTGTTTAGAGCTGACCAACTGAGTAAAGGCAATGACTTCCTAATTTGATTTCATTCTGATTCATAAGCTCTCAATTCAGTTCAATTGAATTCTGAATATTTCAGTTGCTATATCAACAGACCTGTTTAAATTATTACATACCCTTACGAAAAAGAAGTTTATTCAAGTGTGCTATTAGTATACTTCTTTTAAACTAAAAAATAGGAAAGTCTACTTTTAGTCTACTTTTTATGTACTTCTCAGAAATGGGCTTTATGTACTTCTCAGAAATATACTTAAAATGACATTTAAGTATACTTGACTTATACTTAGAAAAAGTCTAAATATATTTTAGCTATAATTGTGCTCCTAGAATCAGTGTTTTCATTGTTATACTGTAGGGGGCACTATAGTAAGAATCTTCTGTACAGAATTTCCAAAAAACACAAGTGAAGAAGAAACCGAAACAACAGATGCTTCCACATCTAATCTAACACGATCATCAGACATAAAACAGCATCAAAAATGTGTAACGTTATGGAATAAAAGGTCGACCCATGAAGAGGTAATAATAACTGTCAAGCTTTGGGGTGTTGATCGACTTGATCTATGTTTTGATTATCATTCTGAATCCAATTCATAGTCTTTTTTCAGCTTTTTGTTCAAAATGTTGTTTATTTCTTTATTTTTTATTTATGAAACTTATCCACATTCAAGTGTTTAAAAAAAGAATGCATGAAGCTAGAATAAAATGTTTTTGTTTACAAGCAGATACCCTGTTCTTTTGGTGTTTTGTATGTTCAGATATTCATATAACAAAATATATACAAATTAATACCTAAATAGGGACATAGTAGTATACTTAAAGTATGATGTAAAGTTCACTTAAAGAAAACTACTGTTATACATAAAGTATACTTAAAAGTATACTTTTATATACTAGAAAGTGGGCCAATTTAGTTCCAAGGAGTATTGAAATAGTACACTTACAAGTATACTACTAGTACACTGATATTTGTATACTTACTACATAAAGTATACTTAAAAATACACTTGAACTTTACTTAAGTATACTTACTAAAATAAACTTGAAGTATACTACTTTTTGGTAAGGGTAGTCACCTGATGGCAGTGGAGAGAATACAAAATAAAAGACAAGAAACCCTAAACAAGAAACAAAACCCCAAAACCAGCATGACAGATGTTTAAATAACAGCATTTATTTAAAATATAGTTTCCAACATCATAAATGCATTTACTGTCACTTTTTATCAATTTATAACCTTGCTCAATAGAAGAAAAAAGTCTTACTGACCCAAACTGTTTGATGTTGGTTTATAACATGCATTATGACTCCAACACGGCCCAGATTAAGTTGCCAGGACCCAGTTTGTTTTCAATGAGAGGGGCGAAGAGTCACATAGTGTAGCAAGTGCAGTCGCATAAAACCAATAAGCAATAGAGAAGTGGACTGCACATATTTTGGGAATGGTGAGCCGGTATCCGCCATTGACTCAATGACATCTGAAAGATAGTAGATTCATGCATCCACTTTAAAAAGCACAGATTAACTTTACTGATTTACAGTGATGTTCATGTAAAATAATAATTGCAACTTGAAAAAAATAACCTGATTTGTCCCTTCCAATTATTTTAATATGCTCCTCTGACCTAGTCAAAAGCCAGTAGGAAGTTATCAACCCCCTGTTGTGTCACAAAACAGAGCTTTTTCCAGAAATTTGAAGGAACTTCATAACATAGATTTATAAAATAGCTAGAAAGCCACACAAGCCTCAGATCGACATTTCTGGCTAGAGATGTGGCATCTTGTCACATTCTCTTTATATGGTCTAATAGGAAAAACACTGTTTGAGAGTCAGGTTTTGTTTACATTATAGAGATATTTAACCTGAAATCACCTACAACTGTCAGTATCAGTCAAAGTAAAACTTGCTAAATAAACATGATAATTAATGTCTTAATGATAATCTATACATGCAGTGCAGCTTATGTAAATAATGGTTAACATTAGAAAACCAAGTGCAAATATTTTTCAGTATCCACATTGGATTTGGATGATGTAATCTGTTATGTGCTTTATCTTGGACCATAAAAGACACTCTCCTGCTATTTCCTCACTCTGTTTCCTGTGAGCACATTGGAGTGAAGCAATTGCCCTCTTTTTTTTCTACAGACATCTCATCATCCCTGAGAACACTCTCCCACAGCTGTCCCCCTCAATCTCACCGACAAATATTCCTTCACATGTCTGTAATGGCCAGCTCCACAGCACAAGCACCTAGCGTAGACTCTACTGAAAGTAAATCTGACACATCACCCATATCTATTCGTAAGTATTTTGTAGTTTTGTGCACTATACTGAATGAGTGTCAGCGCAAGCTGTGACATCAAAGTTATCAAATGGGTGTGTTTGGATGTGGATTGGTGACATTTAGAAGAGCAGACTGCTCTGAATTTCTCACACCATGTGGAACCGAAATAAGCATGTGTGGTTTGTGTGTGTTGGCAATGGCATGCAAGCATGTGTGTGGAATCAGATGTGTGGTTTATGTGTGTGTGTGATAGTTTTGTAAGATATGAATGATTTATTCCTGTTATGGTAAAGCTGAATTTTCATTATTCCAGACTTCATTGTCACGTGGTCCTTTGGAAATCATTCTAATATGCAGATTTGGTGCTCAAGAAACATTTCTTTATTATCAGTGTTGAAAACAGTTGTGCTGATTAATATTTTTGTGGAAACCGTGATACATTTTTTAAAAAAGATTCTGTGTAGAAAGTTTGAAAGAAATGGAAATATTTCTGTCTTTACTGTCACAATTTAATGCATTGCTGAATGAAAGTATGTATTAATACTTTAAAAAGAGTGACAGAGAGAAAAAAAGAAATTAAAAGTAAAACATTTGAGCAGTATATTAATAAAAACAACCTCTGTTACGTACTCCTGTCTGTCATGTTCACCATGTGAATATCAATAGTATGTACGGTATCACAAGAAGAATCATATATCATAACCCATATGCATAATGTTCCGAACAAGGTCCAAAATTGAAATTTTGTTAAAGTTAAAAGACAGGAAAAGTTTTGCACCAAAACATAATTATATTATGGTCATGTAATTATGCCTGTTTATTCCCTGTTAAAACCATTTCACAAGTTCACCCTTACATCTAATCTGATAGTAAGCATATTTTGGCGTGCTGTCCTGGGGGAGGGCTCCGAGCCTGGAATATAGCCCGAACCCAGAGAATTCCCCCTATCCCTAATATGGGATGAAAATAGATTAGGAGTGAGGAGTTTGGGTGGAGGAGGGATGCCGGAAAACTGCCGTAGGACAGAGGTAGGTAGGCTGTATATATACGTATATACACATATTGTGCTAGTTAGGATGGTTAGCTAAACGAGTTACACCTGTGCCAAATTGGTTGATTATCTGATCGTGCTCCTCCTACTTTTCTGTTTTTTTTTTAAAGATTCTGTGTACAATGTGATGAAGTCATGGCACAGATCGGGCACCAGTTTCAAGGTTGTATTTTAGATCACAGTCTTCGGATCAGTTTTCAAAGAAGCCAGCAGGTCAGACTCATCACCTGTTGCATGTTGGCATTGTGGTGAGTTTAAATAAACATTCAAAAGGGGGCATAAGCTGAGTCTGTGAAGACAGATGAAGGTAAAACAATCTTAATGCTAATTGATCACTTGCTGATGTGACCGGTTAAGTTAAAATTTTGAAGTAGAGATTAAATAGATCTCAAACAGGTAAGAAGATAGCTCAAACATTGGCGGAAGAAACAAAGCCAGGAGAAGAGATACGACTTCCATCTTGGTGGAAGATGAAACAAAGTTGGAACCAGAGGGGGGGGGTGGGTGTGTGTGCGCGCGCGTGCGTGTGTGCGCGCTCCCCTCGGAGCAACAAAACAGCAAGCCAAAATGTTGATTTATCTTCTGTTCTGAAAGCCCTCACATCCAAGTCCCCCAGTATGTGATGGAAAACATCGCAAACAAAACGCTTGTTGGTCTGTATCCCGCCACAGTACAACAGCTGCATGTGTATTCACCTTGCATTGACACTTACGCCATGACATTGTTTTTAATTGGGAACTTTTAAACGAAGGGCAGTCTGCACATCTGTGTTTGTAGCTGTAATGGACCAGCAGAGGTTACTGAACTTGTCATTGATGGTTTTATCTTACATTGTCAGGTACAAGGATGGTTATGTTTTACAAACATTTATTAATAATGAGGATAAAAACAGTAATTCAGTAATATTTAATAATTAATGTATTTTTAATAATGTTTTATATATATATATGGAATCTCTAAGAACAAAACAAATTTATTGGCTACAAGGTTATTTTGTATTCTAAATTAAAATTTGATAAACGTCATCTAATACCATTTACTCTTTGAATAAACAAATTTGGACTAATTTGTGAAACAATGTGAAAACCTGACAAAAAAAGTTTTTCAGCTGAAATGTTATTTTCTTTAAGTAAAACACTGACACAATGCAGTAAGTTAATTTAAGCTGCTTTCTTCAGTTACTATGAGTCTTTTGAATGAGCATGGCAGCATTAGACACTGATCAGTCTTAAGAATGAAATCTAGCTTAAAAAGATTTTGCATCTTTGCTGCAATATTTATCATTTTCCTGTAAGTGATGTGTATGTCTGTCCACAGGAATGTTGAAAAATCAGCAGAAGGCCCTTTATATTACTGATGGCACTGTTCTCAACCAGCTGTCTATAATCAATCTCAGTGGGCCTGCAGTCACTTGACTGACTCATGAGAGCACATGCCCATTAGTAAACTTATTGAAAAGGCTTTTTCTCTCAGAGAATCACTGACTCTCAGCTTGAATGAGGGAATCTGAGAGTGTGGTGGAGAGAAGAGAGGGAGAGGTATTCTTTCGAGGCGAGATGCGTGACATGGTTGGGTGAGATAGGAACGGTTACCACTTGAGCCTCAAATCCCAGGCAGATGTGACCTCAGGCCATGAAGGAAAGAGAGAGACGGAGAGAAACACCAGATTGTTTGAGGAAATCAGTTGCAGAAAAGCAGAGAGCGGGGAATTGTGAAGAGCTCTTTAACTGAGACTCCCGCAGGACTGACTGAGTGTGTGCGTTTATGTGAGAGGGAGGGAGTGTGTACCATATTCAGAATCTCATGACTAGCCCCACAAACAAGTGAGCCTGAACTCAGCGCTGTGGTCATGATGAGCCTCAGAGCAGTGGCAAAATGAAGTTGGTAAGCTGATAATAGACCAGGGACGGACTGGGACGCAATTTCAGGCCGGGAAATCTCGCACTCATCCAGGCCACACAGAAAAAGTAGTACAGTCATTGACACTGTAGCAGTACTCTTAAAAAGGATATCTTTGTACCTTTTTAACCCCTAATAGGAACATATTAGTGCCTTAGAGTAGTAATTTGTACCCTTAAGGTACTAATTTGTAGGCCTACCTGTTAGGGGTAAAAAATGAACATATGTCTTTTTAAGAGTACTGCTCCAGTGACAGACCAGGGACGGACTGGGACGCAATTTCAGGCCGGGAAATCTCGCACTCATCCAGGCCACACAGAAAAAGTAGTACAGTCATTGACACTGTAGCAGTACTCTTAAAAAGGATATCTTTGTACCTTTTTAACCCCTAATAGGAACATATTAGTGCCTTAGAGTAGTAATTTGTACCCTTAAGGTACTAATTTGTAGACCTACCTGTTAGGGGTAAAAAATGAACATATGTCTTTTTAAGAGTACTGCTCCAGTGACGAGCTTTTGTACCCCAAAAGGTGCACTTTTGGCCCCTTTTTTTCTGTATATAGCCTATACATCCACAACAATTTCTGAAACCCCAGACAATCCTATTATTTGTATGGCCATAAATCCTTCTAAATGGGCTAAATCCTCCATAAAAATCCTCCTGTGGAAAATAAAAGGTTCTCTCTTGCACTGCACCGTCAGTTCCCTATTCTTAATTTTCCCCAATATCTCGCCCCCAAATGTTTTCTCAAATGTAATTTATTCCTGTGATCAAAGCTGGATTTTCAGCATCATTATTCCAGTCTTCAGTGTCACGAAATGCTTCAGAAATCATTCTAATGTTGTTGTTGTTGTTATTATCATCAATATTTAAAACAGTTGGGTACATCAGAATTTTTTGACGAATAGAAACATCCAAAGATCAGCACTTATCTGCAATAAAAAGCTTTTGTAACATTATACATGCACTATACCAAAAGCTTGGAGTCAGTATTTTTATTTATTTTTTTTTTTTTTAGAAATTAATTTTTATTTAGGATGGATGTTTTAAATTGATCAAAAGTAATGATAAAGACATTTATAATGTTACAAAAGATTTATATTTCAGATAAATGCTGTTCTTCTGAACTTTCTATTCAACAAAGAAACTGAAAAAAATCTAATGTGTTTTCAACAACAATAATAATAATAATGTTTTTTGAGCCACAACTCATATTAAAATGATTTCTGAAGGATCATGTGACACTGAAGACTGGCGTAATGATGCTGAAAATTCAGCTTTGAAATCACAGGAATACTTTTTACATTTTTATGTTGTATTTTTATTTATTTTTTTTTTTTTAGAAATTAATTTTTATTTAGGATGGATGTTTTAAATTGATCAAAAGTAATGATAAAGACATTTATAATGTTACAAAAGATTTATATTTCAGATAAATGCTGTTCTTCTGAACTTTCTATTCAACAAAGAAACTGAAAAAAATCTAATGTGTTTTCAACAACAATAATAATAATAATAATAATAATGTTTTTTGAGCCACATTAGAAATATTAAAATGATTTCTGAAGGATCATGTGACACTGAAGACTGGCGTAATGATGCTGAAAATTCAGCTTTGAAATCACAGGAATACTTTTTACATTTTTATGTTTTATTTTTATTTTTTTTATAATTTTAAAATCTTTTCCAATAGAAATCAGTCATTTTAAATACAAATATTTCACAATATTGCTATTTTTGCTGTATTTTGGATCAAATAAATGCAGGCGTGGTGAGCAGAAGAGACTTCTTGAAACACGTAAAAAAATCATACTGATCAAAACCTTTTGACTGGTTGTGTGTTAGAACACCATTTATTTACATTTTTATGTTTTATTTTTATTTTTTTTATAATTTTAAAATCTTTTCCAATAGAAATCAGTCATTTTAAATACAAATATTTCACAATATTGCTATTTTTGCTGTATTTTGGATCAAATAAATGCAGGCGTGGTGAGCAGAAGAGACTTCTTGTAAACACGTAAAAAATCATACTGATCAAAACCTTTTGACTGGTTGTGTGTTAG